GTGTAACCCCTCCAACTACAGGCCGATATAGCCGACGAAATCAACAACGTCAGTCAGCAAATACAAAAATTCTTCTGCGATGCAACCCACAAAGTCCAAAACGAAAATTAATCTTCCCCCGAGGATCCAATCCTTCGAGACCTCATCAAACAGAGAAACAAACATAGAAGAAAGTTCCAAAACACTAGCAATCCTGTCCATCCAAATTACAATCTGCTCTCTATTAAATCTGCTCTCCAACTTCATTCGTAAACATATTATAGAATCAAGAAACCAAAAATGGCAGAACACACATTCAAAAATAAAGAAAATGAGCCACACACTTTGGCAAACGTATAAAACCACAGGAGGCACAAAAAATATCCGTACTAAGAAACACTGCCTGTAATACCCTTTGCTACACAGACAATAAAAAGCAGAAAGTTTTGCTGAAAACTTCGAAAAAATCACTCTAAATTCTCACCTAGCAGTTTATACCGATCATACTGCCATTTTTGCCTCCTCATGGTCTCTCAGAAATGCAACAAAGTGCCATTCAAGTCCACCTTGGCAAGCTTCAAGAATTGATCAAGCTACTTCCGTAAATAGAAACTCACAGTCAACCTGGCCAAGATTTTCACCAACAGTCTCAAACCTACTGATCAAGTTATCATAGCAGGTCAACACATCCCTTGGACAACCATGGTCAAATACCTTGGCATACACTTAGACACAAAAATCACATTGGCCCCTGCAATAACAAAAAGAGCAAATCTGGCTTACCCTGCTCTTAACTCTGGATTGGATCCACTACTCTCAAGAAATAGCAAACTCAAAACGAGGCTAAAAGTAAAGTATCATACGTCAGACCAATAATCATATACGGCCACCAAATCTGAACTGCAGCAGCCAAGACACACAGCAGCAAGATTCAAAAGATACAAAATAAATTCTTGCGCATCATCTTGAACATACTATACTACACGCCAATTCGTAAACTCCACGCAATAACTAATATACAAACAATCCAAGACCATATCAAAAACTCACTTGAAACCGCTTATCACCCAGAGAACCAAAATCCACTGATCATCCAAATAGGAAATTACAATGACATCCCACTGAAAATAAAGAAATGACTACCAAAACACGCAATTACCACAACATAAACCTGAACGCGGTCGCATCTCGCAAAGAAATTAACAGAAATATGCAGTTTTTTTGAAATTTTTTCTGCTACCCCAACAATCAAGTAACCACACAAACCCACTCTTTCTCCAAAACATCAGCACAACTTATCCTCTCCCCCCACATTTTTTATGCAGATTAGAGGGTTATATAACCCCAGGTACTGCGAAAAAATCACTCACAAGCAAACAAAAAAAAAAAAAAGGCGAAATCAATTGGATTCTATTTGAGCTATATTATAATTTTGTAAAACAAAATCGTACGTCGATGAACCTGGACCATTCGTCCTAAAGCTTCAAGTTTCTACTTTGAAGAGCAATTTATTTTATTCTAAGATGTTTTTACATCATGTAGATCTCAACAAATGAGAAAATGAAGATACCTTTTTTTCTTGAAAACGTTATAAATTATAGTATGTATAACATTTTTTTCATGGCTGAATCTACAATAAATTTAAAGACTGAAGTGTTCTCTTTATAGTGAGCTTCTATTTTTTCTTATCATTTTAATAAATTGGACTTTCAATATAGGCTTAGACAACGAAAATTCGAGAAATCGCATTTTCGTTATGTTCGTTTTTGTTTAATATTCGAAGTGCAATAAAATGACGGGAAAAAATTGTATATCAAGTTTTAGGGGATCATTCGAAAGAGAAGATTTTAATCTTTAAATTTATTATAGTCATGAAAAAATTTTTCAATGTTTTTACATAGTATGATAATTTATAGCATTTTCGAGAAAAGAAGTGTTTTCACTTTTCTAGCAATAAAAACATTGTAGACTAAATTGAATGGTATATTTACAAAGTAAAAGATTTAAGCTTCAAAACAAACCCAGATTTGTTGTTTTACAAAATTGTAACACTTTAAATATTTAATGTCTGATTATTTAAGTGTCTGGATATTAACGTGACTAACTGTATATGTTTGCACACAATAGTATGGTTGACATAATTATTAAAACTAAAGATAATCCTAATAACTTAAACGCAATATTCATTTCATTTTATTTTATAATATTCACTTTATCTAAATTTATTATGTTTAACATATCATTATAAGAACATATCAATAGGTAAATATTGAAATCCTAAATATTGGAAATAAATCCTGACATCGTATCAAATACGAAAACAATAACAGTTTATAGTAAAATCTGCAGCGGCGATTATTAGCACGCGAAGTTGATTGATTTTCAAAAGCATTTTTCTTAAAAATAAAACCCGCAATGCAATTTCGTTATTTGTGATTTTCTTCTTGTTTTTCATCACTCTGACCAAATTTGTACCATGATCGTTCTGCATATATAGGCAATACTGAACTTGTGACATAAAAACATAGCCTATATATTCATTATTTATTTTACAATATCTATTTACCTATGATTATATAATGTATATTATAGTCAAACAAGATAAACATTTAAATGTATAATGAATAAATGTTGATATTGATAATATTGTTTCGGAATCATTTAGATATATTTTATTCTATGTAATTAGCAAATAATTGAATAACTTTAATATTGATTTTTGATTTAACAATATATAATAATTTTACAGGAACTAAATAAAGTCTTACAAAACTAGATAATAATTTACTGTTGGTATTTTATATTTGTCCGAAGACAATTTCGTAAAATCTTATGACATTGACGTAGAGAATAATTTCGAAAAGTGAAAAATTATAGAATAGGAATTATTTTATTATCCACTAATGAAGAAATGAAATAAATTATAACAAATTAGTAACGTAATACAAGCAAATACAGGATGCAAGTCATGATTTATCAAAGGAAGTTTAGGTGAATAAATTAATTGTTCATATTCGGAAACAAAATGCAATAATGATAATAAGTTCTTATTTTTGGAATTGCTACTTGTAAGAAGTTCAATTAAGCTCAAATGTATATTTAAGTGTTATTTTTAGATATTAGTTGCTATTTTAAGGATTTAATTTGACGCAATGTGAAATTTCTGTGAAAGTTTTTAAAAAGCTTACTTCTAATGACTATGTATATAATAATGACTGCATAAATAGCGCTATTTTAAACTTTAAAATCATGCATATTATTCGATGTAGCTGCAATATAAATTTTTTTATATAATTACTATTAATAATAAATAACAGAATGAACTGCATCAAAATTTCTTCAATATAATAAATAACTACCTTAGAAATTTTTATATAATATATGAATAATACAAATTACTGCTTACAATTAAGTTAAATCAATAAAGTTTACGTTTTTTATCGAAGTATATATCGTTTCTTACTGTCCATCAAAAAGTGTTATTATCTTTCTCATTTTATGATTTCTTTTAGGAACAATGTTTTTATTTCTTAAACAACGTAACCATGAGTCATTCATCGTTCCTAAATTTCTATGTTCTAAATAACCATTTTTGATATCTAATGATTACATGTTCATATTCACCTACGCTTTTTACACATTTTATTTAGTGACTAAAAATTAATTTTAATATTTTGAAAAAAAATTTTTTTTTATATAAGTGACAATTTTTCAAAACATCAGAATCCA